CTTTTTTTTTGTTTCTTTTTTTTCTCATACTTTGGGACTTGGGAGAGCTGTCTACATTTGATTTCTTTGTTTCAAATATGTGTTCAACACACTGACACAGGACGTTTGCTACTTTATTAGTCACTTTTGAGACTTTTTTTTTCTAGACAATCACCTTTTGATTTACACAAACAGTTGATAAGAAGATTGAATTTGAAAAACAATTTTCACAATAGTATTTTTCACTATAATTGTTTTTTGCACACATTATTTGATTACTGTGTTGGGTGACTGCACCGCTTCACATATTTAAATGATATTAATGCAAGCTCATGCAGCCAATTTAAGTGAGCAGCTGTAAGGAGGAACGCCCAGTTTTTTAAGAGTAATCAAGCGCAGAGGTCTCTATAGAAAAAATATGGTAATATCAAATATTAAAAACTTGCTTACAGTAAAACACTAAATTATTAACATTTTCTGTTGCCCCAGATATATGAAGATGGCTGCTTAGCCCTTGCTATAGTTACTTTGCCCAACTTTATCTCTCTGTTCATAGTAACGCTACTTTGAAAAAAAAATACATGTCAAGCCTTTTTCAGTGCAATTTTTGTCAGACATTAATCTTTTTGTTTTTGTTTTTTTTTTCTTTTTCAACATGCTTTAGGGAAGTTTTTTAGTAACTGTCTTGGCCCTCTAAATAGGAATAGTAGGTTGTCTCTATGCTACACTGGTATTGAATACCCCATTTATAACATTTATATAATACACAAAGATAGCTTACCCAAGAGCAGAGTAAGTGCTGCTGATATGGACTGACTTTATTGTGGCAGTCAAAAAAATAGTATGGTCAGCTTTATTAGGAACATATATACAGCTAAAGGAGGGGGAGAAGGATGGACTGCAGCACAACGGTTTGCGAGCGAGCGGCTGCTTTGGAGCGGTCTTAAAAAGCCCAAAGTGCTCTACAAACAGTGTCATGGAAGCGCCCTGTATCAAATATTTGTTGCCAAAATGAAAATGTTATACAATTCATGAACAACTTGACATAAAATATCAGTTTATAAACTAGCAAACTTTAAAAAGATATTTTAAGATAAAATATACCAACAAATGCAGGAAGTGAAGGAATATCTAAACAGCTCTCACCAAAACAGTGTTCCCCATTGGAAGATTTCCTCTCCTTTTCCCGCAACAATTTTGTAAAAAATTTCTGGCAACAAAAATACTTAGAATGTAATATTGACAGTACAGGATCTTTTAATTTCCTTTAAACTCAAAGTAAATTCTGTACAATTTTTATAATATACACTATGTTACCAAAAGTATTGGGACACCTGCCTTTACACGCACATTAACTTTAATGGCATCCCAGTGTTAGTCCGCAGGGTTCAGTATTGAGTTGGCCCACCCTTTGCAGCTATAACAGCTTCAACTATTCTGGGAAGGCTGTCCACAAGGTTTAGGAGTGTGTCTAGGGGAATGTTTTACCATTCTTCCAGAAGCACATTTGTGAGGTCAGGTACTGATGTTGGACGAGAAGGCCTGGCTCGCGGTCTCCGCTCTAATTCATCCAAAAGGTGTTCTATCGGGTTGAGGTCAGGACTCTCTGCAGGCAAGTCAAGTTCCTCCACCCCAAACTTGCTCCTCCATGTCTTTATGGACCTTGCTTTGTGCACTGGTGCGCAGTCATGTTGGAACAGGAAGGGGCCATCCCCAAACTGTTCCCACAAAGTTGGGAGCATGAAATTGTCCAAAATGTCTTGGTATGCTGATGCCTTAAGAGTTCCTTTCACTGGAACTAAGGAGCCAAGCCCAATCCCTGTATAACAACCCCACACCATAATCCCCCCTCCACCAAACTTTACACTTGGCACAATGCAGTCAGAGAAGTACCGTTCTCCTGGCAACCGCCAAACCAAGACACGTCCATCAGATTGCCAGTCAGAGAAGCATGATTCGTCACTCCAGAGAACACGTCTCCACTTCTCTAGAATCCAGTGGCGGTGTGCTTTTACACCACTCCATCCGACGCTTTGCATTGCTCTTGGTGATGTAATGCTTGGATGCCGCTGCTCGGCCATGGAAACCCATTCCATGAAGCTCTCTACTCACTTTTGTTGTGCCAATCTGAAGGCCACACAAAGTTTGGAGGTCTGTAACTATTGACTCTGCAGACAGTTAGCGACTTCTGGGCACTTCAGCATGCGCTGACCCCGCTCTGTCATTTTACATAGCCTACCACTTTGTGCTGAGTTGCTATTGTTCCCAGCTGTTCCACTTTGCTATAATACCACTAACAGTTGACCGCGTAATATTTAGTAGCAAGGCAATTTCACGGAACACCTGAATCCAATGATTGGAGGGGTGTCCCAATACTTTTGGTAATATAGTGTATCTGCTTTATTACTTTATTTTGGTAGATACATTTATGAATGCCCTCCACAGCTGTAGACATAAGTGTAGGAAATAGTTTGATCTACAATTATTTTGAATTGTTTTGCAGGGAGCTTTTAACATCAATGACAAGACAATACCCCAGCCACCAATTCTTCAACTGTCAGTTGAAAGGCTGAATAGAGATGGAGCTTATCTTATGGACGCAGGGACGGTATGTACAATAGAAAATCACTTCTTCTAGGAACTGAAATTCTAATACAGACTGACTTTAGTGTAAATGTGTTTTGTTGTAGACCTGAGCCCTAATAGCCTAAAACGTCTTGCATCAGAAAGTACATTTCTTGCTATACTATTACCTCTGCTTGCTCATAGTTTTGGATAAATTTTAAGTATACCTGCATGAGCATGTTGAGGCACAAGACATTAAATGTGAGCTTGCATAAAAATACACGTACAATAAGAGCGCCCGATATATATTTCTACCATTACAGTACTGGCAGCCTACTGAGAGGAGCAGCGTTCCAGACAGTCATGTCTCACCACTTTATAGCCAACTTATCTTTTATGAATGAAAATAATTACGTAAATAAATTATGCCTGGTCATGGAACTCTAAAGGGCATCTCTGATCCATTTAATAGTTGTAACAAAGAAGTTATAACATTTTTTTTTTGTTACAGATGTAGACAATATATGTTTCTGTTTCTTCTCAAGATTGCAATAACCATATTTTGCATGGCAGTATTGTTTGTCAGTGGTTCATTTGGCTGAAGCATGTATTTGATCATGTATTCTTCTCTAAAATTGTTAGAATATGCTCCTGTGGGTGGGACGCAACTGTGGACAGCACTTCATTACTCAAGTCCTTGGAGTCGCAAATTACTCAGCATTAACTGAAGAGAGCGCTCCTATTTCTAGATGTACTTATACCCAGTCATATAAAGTGGAACTACAGCCTCTTATTCTTTGCAGGCGCAATCTTAGACTCTAGTTGGATTGTAGTTTGCCATGGTGCTGAAAGAGTGATCAGCTATGACACCAGCCGTTTGGAAGTTCATTTGAGAGCTGAAATCACAGGATTTTAGACTTGCTTGTAAAAATCCTTTTCTTGGAGTATAGTACAAGACACAGTATAATGAAGACATTTGGGTATTAAAGTGTACTGATTGGACACTGGCCGCAGCTGTTTGGAGTCTGTATACCTCCTCTCACTACCACAAACCCTCAGTTATTTGCAAGCAATTAGAGTACATAGAGGGGAGGGTCCTGTACTGTACACCAATAAAAGTATTTTACAGGCAAGTCAAAAATTCTATGTTTATGGTACAGTAAAGGATGCAGGATAATCAAGAAAATTGCAATGCCCAAAATCAATAATAGAGGGGTAGAAATGGACCACAGCTACCAATCTGCATATTAAGGGCTTGTTCACACCAAATGCAGACCAGATCTACATGAGTTTCTGCACATGCAGTGCAGTGTTTTTTGCCTTATTTTTGATGCGTTCCAGGCCGTTTTTAG